AATTCACATGAATTATAACCCTTAGGAAATAAATGCAAGGTATTTTGGAGACACTTTTTATTTACAAAGGGTTGCATAATAAGAAAACCACTATTTCTTGTTGCACTGTTCTAGATATTAATAAAGAATTATAACAACACTGAAATAGTGGAACAGAAACAATTGCATAAATTGTGGAAGTATTTTAGATCAGTTCTAACTGCAAAATATTACATTTTGGGACTCAGGTAAGAATCACCTCAAAGATCAATATAGGACTTGATTTTTTTTATTGTATAAGTGTAATATATATATAGTTGTTACTTATTTTCAAGTCACAAGAGCCCTCTCCTCCCACACAGAATATATCCTAATCTTTTTTATCTTTTATGAATTATTTCTGCAATCACTGTAGCTAACATAATACTTGTAAACTACTAAACTCTGTTTTTAAGACACATTAAGCATTTCATTGTTCAGAAGAAAATTTTGGTCTGGGTCAAGCAAACAAGAATGGAATTAGCAAATACTTTAAACAAATTCATAATAAAATATCTTCACTAAAATTTCCATCTTGACTAACACAAGTATGTATATAAGCTAATGAGAATATTTTAAAAGCAGGACCTTCATCATCTAATTCTAAAATCTAACTAAAATAGTTAAGATTCTACAAATAAAAAAGTAACACAACAATTTTGAAGATGATTATTAAAGAGTTTCTACAAGAAAGCAAGGAATATACTCATGAAACAGGTTTTGTTTTTACCTAAGGACACCTAGAATGGTCAAGTATGTCCCATTACCACACATACATAAACAACTATTCACATTTGATAAAAATAAGTAATACTAAAGCCTTGCCATTATAGAAGTAGTAGAACATCTCTATCTCCCACCAAGTTTCACTACAACTACAAAATTTACTCATAAGAAACTTCAAGAAATAAACCTAAATTGTATCTCTAAACCACAGATTTTCCTACCTCAAACCAAGTCCAGCAAAGAAACTACATCTGGGATACCTCTTACTAAGACTAAAAACTACCAAATTTCCAAGACTTAAAACTACCAGCTGTTGTGTAGGTAGTTTAATCACTGTTGTCTTGTACACTTGAGTTTTTACACAGGTGTGTAGATTTGTGTTAAGCATGACTTAATCTGATGTTCAATTTTTTTGCGTCTGTGCCTGATGGGTGGACTATGGTGGTGCCACAGTTTATTGTGTGTTTTTAGGCTTCAAAGCCTTTAAAGACTGTAAAACAGATGAAGATTTTGAAGCTGTAGAAGTCAACATAACTTGGTTTTATTATAAATTTAAGTATTGTACTTTGCATTTGTTTCTGTATTTTATAAGAACAGTTCTGGGTTACATGCAAGTAACGTTTCTAGGTGCAGATTTTGGGTATTTGTTAAAGCCAAATCTAGACAAACAGCACTTACGAGAAGAAAAGGAATATAACGACAGCAAATTATTTCCTTAAAGCAAAGAGACCTTGTTCTTGTCATGTAGTTTGTGGAAAGTGCCTTATTTTTAACTTTGATTTGGATTTTTTTGGCATCAATTTGCTGTGGAAAAAGGAAAATAATATATTTTGCATAAAAATTTCAATACCTCTTATGCTACAGAAGCTGGGTGAATATCTGTAAATATTTTAATCACAGCTTACAGCTCAAGGTAGATGTCAGAAAATACTTTAATCACAGCTTACAGCTCCAGGCTTTGAAGCAATTAAATATTCAGGTGGTGAGGCGAATGCTGAAGAGGTCTAAGTCACACCCAGCTGGAATTTGTTTCAGCTAGCTCAAGGCCAATATGAGTATTTTAAACACAGCATTGCTGATACACTTTCAAGGACAGCTACTGACTAATAAATTGGTTTTGAGAGTAACAGACATTTGGTTTCAACTTATATTTTACATGTTTTAGACCTTCTTTAGAAGACAGATATCCTAGAACTTTTCAAATCACTATGTGCCTTCCTAGGTCCTAGGCTGGAATCTGGAATCTCACAGAAACATAAGAATTATCTGACCAGTGACAAAATATTCATTTTAAGAAATATGATTTTCTGCTAGTAGAACTAGTAAGTTAGACATTGAACTTTGAAAAAAAAAATCTGAAATGTAACTGATTTTTTTTTTTTTGGATTTCAACACTAAGATTCTAGTTTTAAGTTCTTCTGTCAAAATATATTTTTTTTCTATTTGTTGTGCAAAGCTATTTGGTCAAGTTTTGTCACTCAAACCATAACACTTACTGTTTTACTTTCAGCTGTGTATGGCTATGAACATCTAAGGAACTTAAAATTTAAGAGGTTTTCCTAATCAAATAACCTTCAAATATACACCACGTCCTTACACTACATTTGATGTTTTCTTCAATTATACTAAGATTCTGCAACATTGGTATCTTTATCCTCATAAGAAAAGTAACAGGATAAAGAAGGATTCTACCTCAACTTTGTATAGGCTGAGGACTTAGAAAGTTTAGCTACAAAAAAGCTATGAAAAGGGAAGAAAGCCAGTTATAAAGATTACTTGGGTCCAGGATAAAATATGAGGCATAGAAAAGCAGTAACATGCTAAAAGATCAGAAAAGCCTGTGTAGATTCTTTTGGAGGCCTTTTGCTCTGGTGTCAGTTGGATGATTTAAATGTTGCCAGTAATTGATGCTGCTTAAATACCAACTGTATTCATTATTACACTGGACAACTTTTTGAGTGCCTGGTGAAATAAGAACTTAGTGAGTCACCATTTTTACTTCCTTATGACTTTAGGAAATGTGGCTTCCAGTTTTCTTCCCAGCTGAGGAAAAAAAAAAACAAACAAAAAAACTTTCAAAAAATCCTAACTGCTTTCTTCTTTAGTCACACTTATCACACAGAGTTCACTTTTTGAGTGCCTGGTGAAATAAGAACTTAGTGAGTTTCTTGTCACCATTGTTACTTCCTTATGACTTTAGGAAATGGGGCTTCCAGTTTTCTTCCCAGCTGAGGCAAAAAAAACAAACAAAAAAACTCTCAAAAAATCCTAACTGCTTTCTTCTTTAATCACACTTATCACACAGAGTTCCAAAACAGCCTTTACAGTGGTTATGTTATTGAAACTGGGTTTTCTGGGAAGAACCAGAAGAGGTGCAGCTTGGTTTCTACAGATTCTATTGCTATATGAAGATGTACAGACTATGGCTGCCCTGGCTCATGCCCTTGTCTGCAGCTCCTGTTGAGCAGGTTTTCCATGTGCCAAATGGCTTGCTCTTACACTTCTCACACCGGGTAACAGTTCAGCTTCTTCCATAGCTCTTCTTTTGGCAATGCAATACAATGCTTTCCTAATATCCATTTCTACTTTCTACCTATTCAGAAACCTTCACAAAAAGCTTAATATCTTTTACACATTTATTTTTCTGGCCAGTTTCTTCAGAAAACTGTAAATATTTTTAATTCATATGACTATGATCTGAAGATTGTTTTTCACATATATAACAAACCAGAAACCCAGTCTAATGAAACAATTGTCTAAGTAAAGTGCTTTAGAAAAGTGGATTATTTTCATTACCAAAATACAAGAGAATGGTCAACTATTTTTGTATCATTGATGTTTTGCTTTCTTTTAAAACCATATAAAACTCCCATTTACAGAAAATACTTCTGAAAGTAGCACAGACATTCTTCACTTGCTCTGCAATATGTGGGCGGTTTTAAATAGGCTTGTCTTTTTCCACTGCATCAAATTAACTATTTACTGGATATATACAGGATACACCATAAAACTCCTTTTCATATCCAGAAAGAAGAGCAATGATGTGCCTAGATGATACTATGAAACTGTTTAGAAGTTCCTAGTAATGCTGTTATAGATTAAAATCCTTTACATATTTTTCTGCACACTCTCCCATCTGGAAAGAACCCCCTCCTTTCCCCAAGATTCAGACTTTAGAGTCTCACCCGAACATCACTCAAGTGTTTGGTGCCTCTTAGCCCCTGAGCCAGCCTTGGCTCCGCTGCAGCGCTCACTTGAGGGCTCTGTGCCGCCCGTGCTGTGTGTGAGTGACCTCTTCAGCCAAGTCGGTGTCACTACAGAAAGGACACGCAAAAGAAGTGCACCGACTTCTGAAATGAGTAGTTTTTGAGGTGTAGGTGCCGTATTTTTCCTCTCTTGAAGATCCATAATGAAATAGAAACGAAGGGGGAAATTTTCTTTTCAATGGAAACATTGAAAAAGTAATTTTTATTAGTAACTTCTTTCAATTGCCAGATGGAGAATTATTAATAATTATTAAACAAAACCAATTTGAGAATGGACCATGAAAGTGTATTAATTTGACTGTCAGGGAGCTTTGCAAGAGCCCAAAAGGTTAGCATGAATCATTTTTGCCACAATGCAGCGATGGCTGCATCTACAGACTGCTAACATAGCACAATTATGTGTGTCAAAAGGGATACAAGACAGAAGTTACAAACTAATTTATACTGATGTGATTACTTAAAAGTTTGCTTGATTTTACAATAACCAACTATTATGTCAGCAATGTTTCTCATTACTCATTTCCTCAGTCATTAAGAGCCTACTTATTTTATGATTCTCTCTGCGTTAAAATTCAGAAAAACAGTTTACATGGATCTTGGAGACATTCTAATTAATCAGCAGTAAAAACTGTATCATCTTCTTGAGATATGCTCTTTAGGAGCAAGCTGTCTCTTCTTTTACCCAGATTGAAGAAGTAACAATCACACAGAATGTTGACAGAGCCAATTCTGTTTCTAATTTTGCCATGTGGCTCTTAAATGAAGCAGATTTTCATTTCCTAAGCAAACAGAGTGAAACATTCTAGTGAAATAAGGACATTAGAATGTGTTAATCTTTGTGCTTTTTAAAACTGCATGATTGACTTCTCTTATGTGACTACCTCTAAGAGGGTCACTGTCATACCTGTTCTTAGGATTGTGGATTCCTTCCTCCTTGATTGTGGATTCCTTCCACAATCAGGTGATGCTATCTGGTGACTTAGCACTTACCTGACATCAGGGACTGGGTTGCCAGCAACTCTGCACTCCAGCAATACTTTGTTTCCTTCGGCAACTTCCTGGCTCCGGAGCTTCTGAGTGAATAGAGGTGGTGAAAGCTCATGCTCTTCCATGTTGATGAAGGGACGGCACAGGACCATTTTGCTCTCCATGATGCTCCCCCTTCCAGAATAGTGTTCTCCATTCAGATGAACTCCAGGTAATTTGTCCTCAGGTTCAGTCTCTTGATGTGGCTGGTTCACCAAGGTACTTAAAGCTGGTTGTTTCTTATTAGGTGACAGGTATCCACTGTCTGGAGAAGAAGAATCCCCATCGGGACTACGGCCTCTTGTCTTTGCTGCTTGTCTAAATATAGATGATAACTCCTCTATGAATGTGGCAGCTTTGTCACACAGCTTGTTCCTGAAAGGAGCTTCTCCCTGAAATGTCGATTCAGAGTTTGGGCTTGTCTTAGGCATACATGGACCACCTTTCTCTGAATATTTCAGGCTTCTGACAAAGCTGGGACTAGCAGGTAGAAAAGGTGTGGTGCTTGCTTGTATCTTAGAAACTGTGGCAAAACTATCCTCTGTCTGAGGTGCAGTGGATTGCTCTTTCTGATTCCTTGGGAGAACATGACTTGCAGCAGATGAAGTCCAACTGCTTGCTTGAGGTGTTGGTAAAGTGTCTTGCTCATGGAGGTCGGTGTCCCTGAAAGAAGGGTTTTCTGAAGGGCTAGAAAGAGGGGTGTCGAGATAATGAGTAAAGTCTGGTGCTGTGTTCTCCTCTTCCTCCATGGAATTGGCAATGGCTTCTCGAGCTATGTCAAGGCTCTTACTTATCTCCTCCTGGGTAAGGAAGGCAGAAAGTTCATTTGAAAATTCACCATTCTGTGTGTCTGACAGGGAATCACAGAAAAAGTCATGGTAAGATGAAGCTTCTGACATATTTTCAGGATATCCCGTACTACTGCCGCTTTCTGGAGAGTAAGTCTCCTTCAGCATTAAAGAAAGAGGCAATGCCCGGCCACAGCTTCTGTCTTGCATCCTGGAAGACACAAGAACAATTCCTTAATGAAAAATGTTATATCCTAGTTCCCATAAGCTAGACACAAAGCTGTAAGATAAGCAGAATATAATAGTGTATGACATATAATAAACCTTGTTTTCTATTAGAATGAGCCAGGACTGCAAATTGTCTAGGTGGAAATGAGAACACTTAGAAGTAATTTTTCTCATGAATCTTCCCTCAGAAGTATGAAGATATCCTTTGCCTGTATATTGCCTAGCACAATCTCAATTCTACTGGATCAATATGTATATTGCTGTTATTTCATCATCTGATTACGTTTTTTACATCAATTCTATTAGACTTAATTTTTTCTTTTCCTAGTTTTAGCCTTATGAAGATTTTGGGAATATATTTACTTTTCTCTTTCCCTTAACATTGCCTTCCAGACATTAAACCATCAAATTCTGAGAGAATTGTTCAACTTGAAACCATTATGAGGATACACACAAGGATATTTGGATTAGAAATTCCAAGTTATCCTTTCTGTTTAATGTTAATAATGTGTTTAATATTGTTTTACTTATTGTGCTAATATTTTTAACTTGCTACCAATTTAGTAGCAATTGCAAAATGAAATATCAAGCTACCATATGCTAGAAGTAAAGCACTGAAGAAACAAATTTCACAACCTATATATCATCCTGCTCAATGGAAGTGTATCATGTATATTTTGTACCAGTTTCACAAAGCAGGTAAGCATTTATACTTCTCCAGTTTCTCAACATGACTTCAGAATTAGGATGAGCCTTCTCTTTAAAGTCAGCAAGAAACAAGACATCAGGGAAACCACACTTTCCTCAAGGGAAAGACTGGCCTGAAAATCTCATTGCTGAAAGGTATTTGTCTAACTGGTCACTAGATTGTGGCTGATGAGATCTGAAACATAATTATTGTTTCTGCAGAGCATTTAATTGAGTTGAACATCAGTGGTTTTAATTACCCTGAAAAATCCTCTCATTCTAATGATAATTTCTACAAGAAAAAATTTTACATAAGATTTAAAAAGAAAAAATTTCCTTTAATTCTCTACTGATAGTGGAGAAATGGCTTGACAATCATGAGATGCACTCGGACGTATTTTGCATCAGCTTGTGCAGACTCCAATTACCTGTAGTCACTAAACCAGGGCTTACCCAGCATGTAGTCATTAAATGACTGATAGATTATTGGAATTCTTGGCTTAGCATATGTATCTCTTGATATGCCTGTTTGTCTTGCCAACAGATTACAACTCAACGCATAAAAGAGAAGTCTAAGAAACCCAAAGCATTTAAGGTTTGATAAATGTTTTTATAGAATTCAGTGATAAGTTTATTATGTGCTGGGATTATGTTTTCCTTTCCTGTTATCTGCGTTTACAGGGCAACAAATTTAGCAACCATGCCAATCTCTTGTCAACAAAATCTAAAAAAGCATATACAGTATAACTGACTACCACATAGCAGCTTTAAAGAAAGAATCTGAGAAGCCCAGCAAACAGTTGGTCTAGAGGCTCAGCTGTTCAGGCATAAACGGGATGAATGCCAGAGAAACAAGGGTTAAAACTGTAGAGTTTCTGCCTCCTTAAATCTTAGTTATTTTTTAAAACTTTGTATTTAAGTGAACAAAGGTGCTATTTAGACAACACATAAATATCTGTGCTTCAAATTATATCTTTATTTAAATCTGACACACACTGGTTCCTAGCTTGTTCACATCTCAAAGTGACACATTACATACTCAGATAAACTTCCCTGACTTCCAACACCAAGCTGCTCTAATGTTTCAATGAGCTCTTTCATGGGTAGAAGGACAATTTTGCTTATTGTTAGCCACCCAACATGATTATTAAAATCAGTTGATTATGAATGAACATATTTCTTCCCAATACTCAGCTTTGTTGTTAGAAAAATATAATGGCTACATATATTGTAATTTTCAAAGCCTGATGTCTAAATTGAAGTGAATCAGTCTATACCTGGATATTTAGATAAAGTTGATGGATTTATATGTGCTGGTTAATTGGCAATTTCTAATGCTGATAAGCCTTCTTGGTGAGAAGGTTCCTGAAAATGGATTCATGCGTCTAGCTTTAGGGAACTGAATGGAAGCTTCCAGGAGAAAGACTTTTTTCAGCCATACTGTAATATGTAAACTCACTATTCTTTTAGAGCAACTTGTAATCACAGTGAACTGGAGGTGAAGTATCACTAACCCTATCAAGTAGCTTATAAGATCATAATTAGAAATTTTGAACACTATTTCTAGCTTCTCCAAGTTAGACTACAATATATTTATAACAGTTTTCATCATCAGTACTCATTAGGTAACCTGCAAAGCCATATACTGTATCATTTAAAGACACAAGCATAAATTACAATGTTGCATGCAGATCAACATTATTACATTCAGACTACTTATGAGCTCCTATTTGTATATATTTAAAAATTACACCCAAGTAAAACCACATTTTTTATCATGCAGTTTAAATGTTTATTCAAAACCCAATACAGATGCTCTAAAGAATCATATGGTAAATATTAAATTTGAAACATATTGGATTACAATAATTTCAGAAAATTAGAGTAATCAAATTGAGATTTTGTAGAGATATATACTAAAATATGGAAAAAACATAGAAAACTAAAGGACTCATAAAAAAATATATAAACATCCTGAATTTGCAGAAACTGCCAAATAAGAAATTATGATTTAACATGACCCAATTATTACTTAACAGGACCTATATCTTCAAAATAATTGTATGAAGGATGAAATGTATCTAGTAAGATTTTTTAAAACAAAAAAGGCACATAGTTTTTCTCTGAATTTTGAAATCCTGCAAAATTACTCCACAAACACAACAATTACGTTTAGCAGAAAATATAAAACAGATCTTACAATGAGCAGGCCAATATGAAGAGTTCAAGTATAACTAACAGTAGGTAAAGTTGTTTTTCTCCTTTTCTATCTGAATAGGCTTAAAGTTGCTCCAGCCCTTCCCTGAAGCTTGCTTGGTCCTTAGTCGAGAAGATTGTGGCCTGTGCGTTACATCCGTCCTCTGTGACTATGAAATTCGTACCCCACTCATCTATATTTGGTAACTGAACTCATGTTTCAGCAGACTGCCACTATCTGGAATTCCAGCAGCAGCAACGTTCGGCCTGGAAGTGGCACAAAGTTCTGTGTGCTTACTACTCAGAAATTTAGAGAGCTTAGCCATTCCCTTTCTATAACATTTTATGGTCAAAGATTTGAAATTGTTTTAAACAACACTATTTTCATTATAATAAATAAAATAATTGCCTTTTTCTATTAAGCATCGTTTAAAATCAATAGCTTCCTTGTGTACCTTAAAATCTTGTAGAAAAGAAAAAATTAGGATCATTTAGGTTGGAAAAGACCCTTAACATTTTTGGATTTATGAGTAGAAATACAGCAACTTTTTGTAATAATTGATAAATAATCTGTAACCATATACTGCACTGTACAAATAAACTAACCTACTGAATTTTCACATCTCAAGTGAAATAATAAAAGAAGTATCTCCCTCAGAAAAGACACAAAAAATCCCTGGAAAACATGTGTGCTTAAAAATACCCCGCACCTCTGACACATGTATTAACACTGAAACAATCAAAATACATTTTTGGTTTCTGTAGAGTTATGGAGTTATAGAGAATGTGTAGCAGAGTCAATTCTCACTTACTGTCTCTCTTAAGGAAGAACTTTCACCTCATTAAAACTCCTGCAAACGTTTAGTCCCAGAAAAAAAAAAAAACAAAAAAAAACAAAAAAAACCAAACCCAAACCTGTCCAAAAGCACTTTTTCAAGCACATAATTTCTGTTGAAACTCAGTGAAAGGAAGAAGTAAACATGAAGACTGTTGGTTTAATCTAGAGACTTTATCACACAGTTTCCAGAAATAAAAGCAATGTGTGGGCAACGTGGTTTCTGCCAGATTGCAACCTACTGGGTGTCACATGCTCCAGAGTAGATAGAAGAAATTATAGCTCCAAAGAGATGTTACAGACCTCCATCCCTTCTGCCAGCATCCATTATATCTGCTCTCAGATTTGAAATCATTTTGTACACTGGCATTTGCTCTTAGCTCAAGGTCTTCTAGATACTGCTGTGCATTTTTTACTAAAATTTGTTCCTTGGCAACAATGGAAGTGCAGTAGATGTACTCTTGTGACAGAAGAGCACAAGAGACTCAGAGCTCCCTAGAGGATCAGACCATGTTTATGTACCAACAAGTGCCAGTACCACACATCCTATTTCAGTGTTGATAGAGCATCTTGGCATCTTCATACAGGCAATTACTGTCCCCTAGTCACAGCTTGAACAGACTCACTGCTGGACTGGGAATGCTTCACAATGTATACAAATCCCATTTTTGCAGTTTGACGTCTTTACCATGTTGTAGTGAAATTAGCTAAAAGGATTTTATTTCAGGTCATTTTACAGTGATTTCAGCGTGCCAAATAAGAACAGAACCATGCTTCTAAAAATTTCGAGCTGAAGATCGTGCACAAAGAAGAAGCTGGTTATCCAAGAGTTAACCACTGTATGCGTAATTTTTAAGCAGTCACCCCACAAAGTAAAATCAATGTTTTTCAGGCACCCAGCATCTCCACTAAATGCCTAAGACTTCGCCACCTTGGAATGGGAGTCAAAAATAGCCTGCATATAAACAGCAACAAGCTGCCTTGGGCTATCTTCAGCATTTTCTACAGGGAGTGGGTGGATGAAATCCTGGTTCTTGCAATTATGTGTTTAAATTTTCACTTCTGGGAAGAAAATATATCTGCCTGTAGATATCTGCAGAGATATTTTAAAATAAATTTCTCTTTCTGAATACAAATAAAGTATTGTTTTGTGTAAATCAAGTATGCCCAATACTTTTTGTACAGCATGATAGAAATATTTGCCCAGAAAGTGAAAGATTTGTGTTCAATTAATTCCTCTTCAGCTGTTAATGAAATATTCTTCATAACCTGAAAATAGGGCAAGGTTTTATAAAGTTCTATTAAGCCATGAATAAATTTTCCCAACATTCTTTTTCTGTGATTTAGGGAATGCTTATATTTTTGATGTGTACTGAATATTTTGGAATCGATATCTTCCATTTATATTGCAAAAACAATGTGTATTCTCCTTTATAAATGTAGTAAAGGCAGTAAATCACTCTAAACAAATGGCAAACAGACTAAAACTTTGGAACAGTTACACATTTTGCAAGATAAACACGATTTAATATGCAATGATGTAACAATTTAGGATTTGCACACAATATTTTAAAATTAATAATAGCATCAAACAAGATTAGAGATATGCAGCTAATATGCTCACTCCATTCCTGTTGCGGTCTTATGGAAAATTCAGCTGATGAACAGAACTCCACAGAGATAACAGTTTTCATTACCAATAGATTTGATGGAATGCAGCTGCAGTTTCCCTGAAACCTTAATAATAGTTTCTAACTCTAGTCAGCTCAAGTCATTCCAAATCTCATCCCAAAAACCATAAAACTATTCTGGTTGTACAAGCTTACCATTTGATCTGATGAAGATGTTACATAATGTAAAAGATTTTCATCGTTAATTATGTAAAACCAAAATACAGCAATAAGGTCTTTACCCTAATGATTAATGTACTTACCTGAGAAAGCAGAGCACCTCTGTTATGGTCCTTGTTATTTTGTTTCTTACTCTAAATAGCAACAAGATAAAATACAAGTAGATAAGCAATCTCCTTTCCAAGACCTGAAGTCAAACACCAGTATGCAAACTTCAAATAGAAATCTCTAAGAACTGCTTCTACTTTAAGCAGCAGAGAGAGATACAACCTCCTTTACCAGTTGCCACAGAAACCTCCAGTTATTTTGAGTTACTAACAGACATATTTTTCCACCTCTGAAAGAGCAAAAAAATAATCTGGTTGCCTATGCTTAAACAGACTGGGTCAATGTCTTGCTGTAGTTCGATGCTATATATAGCTTTGTTCTTTAGTTTTCCCTCAGTATGCAAAAGACATTTAATTGTGCTTGTATTTACTTAATAATAAATGGATTTTTTAGATATCTAGAGCTAATATATGTTTTCATAGAGTGCGTTGCAAGTTTCTACCTGTCATATATGTATGAAAGTGTCATATGTAGCAAGCAGTGTCAATGGTATTCAAACACAATTTTTCCAAGTTTCTCTGAGAATATTAGGAGTGCAATGGGAAAGCTTATACACCTTCAGCTTTTCCTAGTAGTTATATTAGTAATTGGTCTGGAAGAAATACAGCAATTGTTAAAAATAAACTAATAACAGAACAGTAATAATAACCTTCAGCCTTCTTTTACAGAATATTTCATCAACAAAGAGATTGAGGGGCTGCAAGTAAAAACACATAAATAAACTTTGAAAATAGTACAACTTACTAGAATTACCACAGCTGTGAACAGGAAAGGAAACCATAAAACAGAAAGGAAGGCCAAGTAACTCACAAAGAACTAATACCATTCTGTAAACTGGGAAAGAGATGAACACTTGTCAGTCCAAGATCTATAGTCTACCTAAGGTCTTCATGAGGCAAACTACCTCACATTGAGAAACTTGTCATTCTGCTTCCCTTATCTCAAGACTACTAGAACACTTGGAGTATCATTCTGCCTCAAGACGCCATCCTCTTCATTAGCTGGGCAGGTAATAATGGAACACACGTACAAACAGCTGCTTGACTGGCAAGTGCCCCCAGCATCCCTTAAAATTTCAAAGAAATTTTTTTAGGAGTTTGCACCCCTGTGCCCTGTGATTAATACACTTTTGCATCTGCGGCTGTGAAGCACATTGTGCTCTCACGGATTTATCACAAAGGGGAAACACGTAGGGCAAAGCTGTTTGGTCTCTGCCTACAAACACTGCCCAGGGTAGAGATGTCTCCGTCCGCGTTACCTGAGAGCGGGCGCTGCCCTGGGAAAGGCGGTGCTGATCCTGCCCCTTGCCAGGCCCCGTGTTCATCGGACCCCCTCAGGACCGTGTCTCCGTGTCACGCTGCTTCCTGAGCCGGCCTCGCTGCCTGCCCGGACTCTTCACTCACAGCCCCGCACACGCTCTGGTGCGTGAGGCGCTGAGGGGAAAACGGGGACGGGGTCTGGTTTTGGAGAAGCCAGTGGGCGCCGCTGAATGGCGTCGGTGCTGGAGGTGAAGAGGTGCGGCCACACCGGCGAGAGCGGCTGCTCGGGCGGGGCAGGCAGGGTGAGGCTCTGCGGTGAGGGACAGGGAGCGTGGAGCCTGCCGGTCTGTGCGGCTGTGGAGGCAGTGGGTGCCCACGGGCCGAGCTCGGCCTGCGGGATGTGGTGCTGTGCAGTGCGCCTTGGAGCTGCGGCCACACCGCACCGGCGGAGCTCACCGCCGTGCCTTGGAGCTGCGGCCGCACCGCACCGGCGGAGCTCACCGCCGTGCCTTGGAGCTGCGGCCACACCGCACCGGCGGAGCTCACCGCCGTGCCTTGGAGCTGCGGCCGCACCGCAGCCGCTGGGCCCACAGCCGTGCCATGGCCTGGAAAAAGCCTTTCCAATGCCCTGTTCTAGTAAAATACTTAAGAAGCGTTATCTAGTGGTGTCAAAGAAAAGAAATGAGGTGTCAACAAACTCTGAATTGACGGTCTTCTGTGGTTCACGTAGAAAGGCCCTTCCACATTGTAGCATTTGGGAATGTATACAAGAATTTAAGCAAGCACGTGTTACAGCTGATTTTAGTACAAAAACTTTGATCAATTTCATGTTGAATTAAGAAGCAAGAGGGAAATTAGTGGAAGTTAAAGAAGGCAGCATCAATGCAATCTCATGAGGATAGAGAAAGCAAAGATGGAATTTGTCAATTATATCGCACATGGCAATATAATTGAGATTGTGTAGTCTAGCATGTAAAGATTTCAAATTATATTATAAGTTTAAGAAATCTAAGCTGTATCAGCTGAGTGTAGCCTTACATAATTTTCTAGAAAAGAAGGGAAATAAATTAGAGTTAAAACACTAGTGGAAAATCTGTGTCACAAAAGTA